ATATGGGATGAAATCGGATAAGGATTAATGGGTTTAAGAGTTTTTAAGAGTTTTAAGAGTTTTAAGAGTTTTTAAGAGTTTTAGCCAAATACTTTATAATATAGTATAGATAAAAACAAATATTAGTCTATTGTAGGATAAATATGTCATCATCTAAAATATATAATGATAGCAATAAATATATTAGAGATAGACTTGAACTGATAGCTCTTGTGGTTATCTATTTATAACTCATTTCTATATAAATAGTTTATGATTAATGGGATTTATAGATTTCGTTCTCTTTTTTTTTTATTAACCTAGATATCCAACCCGCTATGCGAGCCGACTAATCTCATGACAACCACCTGCTTTGCAGATAACCCGAAGTAACTGTATTTGAATCTTCGTGGCCACATGGGGATTTTTATTCCTCTTTGGATTTGAACCTAAGACATCCTAATACTTTTGATCTTTGGAGTCAAATTCAAACCAATCAAACACTATATTATTAAATTTCGTTCTCTTTATTCTATTGTTGTTGTTTTTCCATTACTCTGATAATGCTTTAAAATTCTACCTTTAAATAGTAAAATCATATAAGAAACACATGATGTAAATGCACCGGTTACATAAATGACTAATGAGAAAGATCCAACGGCTTGGATTCATTTGCCAAGTGAAGCCTCGCACAGTCGAATATACCCTAGGAAATTCGCGGACTTAATAGAACAGCCGCACCCTGCCTTTGCTTCTCGTAAAACCCTAACATCGCTAAACCCTTTCTTTCTCACGACAAGCTTGGAGCAAAATGGCTCTCAATTCTTTACTTCGCCGATCAGCTTCAACAGTTGCACCTCTCACCGCTCGATTATTGGGCGGTCAAAGAACGTTCAACCACCACTGCGGTGGCTCTTTGTTCACCGCCGTCAATCACACTCGGAAGATCATTTCTAACAATTCCTTTTTGGTTCCTTCAGTTTCTCGCTTTTCTTATTCGGCTTCTCCTGCTCTGAAACGCCCGACTTCTGATGAGTCGCTCCTTCGAGTTATCGAATCTGAGATCAAATGCTCGGAAGAGAGCTTCGAGGAGGTCAGTTTTTATATCTTACTGTAAAAGCCTAATTAACAGCTAATTTGTATATATTTTGAACACCTATGCTCGAAATTGTTTGTCAATCAATTTCTTATGAATTTATGTAGCGATCAAATTCATATTATGAAATATGTCTAGATTATGATCCACATTTTTTGCGTTCAATTCTAGATTTTGCTTATAAATCACACCAGGTTATTATTTTAAACCAATTTGTGTACAACACCTGGAACTGAAGGCCATTTTGGGAGTTTGTTTAGAAGTGAAACTCGTATCTACCAAATTTTAGTAATAGATTCTCTCGCCTTCCGGTATTATATCTCTCTTATGATTATGAGATTTCAAAACTAGTACCTTCAGATTCTTTCAATATCAAATACTACATGGACTTTTGTAATTAGAAGCTTTGACAGTATGAACGGCCTATAAGTGTTCATGTAGTCGTTAATCATACCTTCAATATTTGTACACTTCCAATTATGGTTTGCATCAAGGCTAAATGTTGTTACCAGTCAATGACAATCCAGTTTTGCTTAAAAGGTTTATTGTTTTTGTATTGTAACACTTTATCTTGATTTTAGATACAAGCAGAACCATAATTTGTTCTTACCTGACATTTATAGACCCTGATCAAGAACGAAGCATATTGTTGATCCAATTGGATTGTGTACTTACTTATATGTTTTGATTTTTTTTATTGCAATTTTCTTTTCTGTAAATACCAACTTTATTTTCACTTCATGGTCATGTTGAAATACAGCTGACTATCCAAATACTGTTGCACAAGTACTCTTTGTGTTTGGACACTAGTGAACTTGATTGGTTCTAATATTTTGACTGATTTCATCATGGAGTTTTGCACCAAATTTTGAGGGAAGGAAAGCCATTTTCTCCATTTGTGAGTTCTTTTCCGAAAGCTTCTAATGAATGTCATCCATGTTTTTTTATCATTAATGGACTAGGTGCATAACGAATTTTATTCTTTGAAATAAGATACATTTTAATAACTAGACTTCAAACTTCAATGTTTTGAACTTTCTTATACTTGGTAACAGTCTTGCGCTTTTTCTTTGTAATGGATTGCCTTGTCTGCAATTTTTAAAAATCCTTTTTATGAAGTTTTCTGATGTTCATTATATATATTGGGAAATTTCATTATTGGAACTTGTACAATTTTTCTGTTTTTTTTACTTATAACAGTGGTCGTCACTCTTGTTGATGATTGATTTGTATGTGTCATGTTTACATGTCCAACCATGACTTTTAAATTTCCAATACTTGTGGTTTATAAAAAGTTGGTTACATTATGAAAGATAATATGTGTTTTGCAGGGTGAAGGGGTTCCGGATGGCTTCCCGTTTGAACTTAATGACAATCCTGGGCAGCAAACAATATCCCTGAGCAGAGAATACCAAGGTGAAACTATCCATGTTGAAGTTGAACCATCTAGCCTTGTTACAGGTCAGGAAGAAGATGACGATGATGATGATGATGATACTGAAAAAGACAATCAATCAAGTCTCCCGATGATTGTAAAAGTATCTAAAACAGGTGGCCCCTGTTTGGAGTTTGGTATCACTGCTTATGCTGATGAGATTGTTATTGATAGCTTGTCAGTCAAAGATCCAGAAATGGCTGATGACCAACTTCCTTACGAAGGACCTAGATTTGAGTGAGTATTTCCTTTCCAATTTGTTCTAGTGTTCATTCTTCATATATGAATTTATAATAATGTTTAATTTGAATTATGTATGTGGTGCAGTGAATTGGATGAGAATCTGCAGAAAGCGTTCCACAAGTATTTGGAGATCAGGGGAATCAAGCCGAGTGCAACCAATTTTCTGCATGAGTACATGGTGAACAAAGATCACAGAGAGTACACAAACTGGCTTAAGAACCTTAAGAAGTTTGTAGAGGCATAAATGGTATGCTTCAGATTTTTGATTTCGCTGGCCCTTTTGGACAAACAATAGTTGGATGTTTTGGGTTATTTTAGAAGTATTAGACTTGTTGGTTTCTTTAAGTGTCTAATGATTCTCAAGTCGTGTAAGCTAACGTGGAAATCATAAATACCTATTGATTGTGGCTTTTATTGCTGCAACTGAAATGTTGTTTTTACCATCAAGACACTTTTTTAGGCACTGCTTTCCGCCTTTGCAAGGGAAAACAGCACATGCCATATAGACAGTGTGTATTGGCAAGTTGCTGTTGATGGCATGTGCCATGGAGCTAGGTTTTGGTCTATTTTGGTGAATAAAGTCCTAGTTATATAGTCTTTTTTAATTCTATTGTAGCAAGAACAATATATAATTGATAAGTTTTGTGGTATAAATCATCGGTCATTATTTGCCCTGTTCAGTAAGAAGTAAGAACGTTTGCATATACATGTTTTGACTTGCATGAGTTTTGGAGTCCCCTTTCAGTCGTACAAAGTYGAAAACTGTAACTGTTATCCAAAAACATCATGTGGTGTTTACGACACAGGTTAGTAATTGGTCGGTCTTTTCTTTGTCCATGATAACCTGGAAAAACAACTGTTTGGATTCCTGTTTTCTAKTGATAGCCCAACTACTAGTATTAACCGAGGCTCTTGACTCAGTGGTCGTGGGTTTAAGATGCAAAGCTAAAAGGATGTGTATTTTCCATTGTTTATGCGTTGCTGCTTCTTTATMAAAACGACACTCAGACGTTCCCTAAGCGTACCGTCATATGGAGTGAATTCAATAATAGATGCATGTTGGCATTCCAACCTTCACATGTCTTGATGCTAAGGAATGGGCTGACGCCTGATGATCCTGAACGTTAGATTCTTTCAAATTACATAAGATGGCGGCAATTAAGAAAACCAATCTACTGTGGCATAAGTCTGTTATATGTTTATTTTACACCTACAAGTATGAAATCTGGAGTTTGTTCCTTCATAGCGGAATCCCCTTGAGGACGTCCGTGTTTAACAAGGCTTGAAGGTCCAAACATTTCCATGGCCCCTCTTGGTCACATCCTCACACAGCTAAAAGAAGGGAGAAAATGATGAGAGAGAATTAAAGAAACAGTAAAAACGAAAAACGATGTTGAGACTGATCTCATCACAAAGATCTAAGCAGTTAACTACAATGACGGTGCCTGGTTGGTTTGAGTTTGGCTCCAACGGTCAAAAAGTAGCAGGAGGTCTCAGGTTCAAATTCAAGGACGAATAAAAATCCCCTTGTGGTCACGGAGGTTCAAATGCAGTGACTCCGGGCTATCTGTAAAGCAGGTGGTCGCCCTGGGATTAGTCGGTTTCCATAGCGGGTTGGATATCCAGGTTAATAAAAAAAAATCTAAGCAGTTGCACTCAACAACCTCCGTCCTAGATGTTCATCGCTCCATATCCAAACCACAAGGACACAAACCTTGGTTAAGCAATTTTCAACAAACTATATAAACGGATAAAATCGTAGTTTACTCTTTTTTTTATGGTAACGTGATCGTTGTGAGGTGATTAAAAAGTGAAAGAGCCCAGCCCACCCTGAACATAACTCGAGGAGACTTAAACTGTCGCACCTGATCTTTGCTTCTTGTGTAACTCCAAATTTTTCTTAAGTGATGATACAATTTGACTACAAAAAAATATCCAAAGAAAGATTTTACAAAATTAATATAGATCAGTTGGTTGGTTCTCTATACACGCATAGACCATACCATGTCAAGTCCCATTAACATAAATTTGAAAAAAACGGGTCGTTCGTTGGATGATCTTCTCAACATTTTCTATTAAATCCATAAATATTCTAACAAGTTTTAGCATGCGACTTCAATACACCAGAATGCCACAAAACTTGTAGAAAGTTATGTTGTCAACAGCCAAACAATCCCTTAAAACATAGGGTTTAAAAGTGAGGGTGACTGATAAAGAGAGGTTTAGGTAGTTCACGAGGCTTTTCTTCGATCTTTGGAGAAGAAAGAAACGAACTCGAAAGAGGCCCGAAATACTACATCGAGAACTTGTTAACAGTCGCCTATGCAATTTCTCCCGAGACTTGGGTCGCATACCTGGTCGCACGCGAGTTCTTTAACAGTCCTGAACAGATTGCGTTTATTTCTTTATTTAATTATTTTGTTTTTTTAATTAATTTAGGATTAATATTAAAAGTATTAGTTATTTGTTTTGTAAATTAGATTAGGATTATTATTTACTTACCTTTTTTATTATTATTTAAATAGGATTAATTTAGTTTTTATAATTAATTATCTTAATTAGTTTAGCTATAAATAGGATTTATTGTTTTTATTGGTATACACATTATTATCAATACAATTTCTTCTCCTTTGTGAGTTTTACGAGTTTTTCTCTTAGTTTATCGAGTTTTACGAATTGTAATTCTCAACCCAAAATGGTTTAGACGCTTGTCGATCATTCCGCAAATCTACATTGCGTCAAAATGTCTCTAACCTAAAAAAAGCAAACAAATGACAAAAACTTCCTAGTCATACGGGCCACTTGCAGATATTAACATTTTCGATCAATACAAATATACAGCAAATTACTAGATATGTGTCATAATTTTTTATTTAAATGACTATTATTACAGGTTGTAGAGTGCATAAGAGGGAACTAAACATTATTTAAGGAAGATTTTAACATGATGTTAGGGGCCGTTTACCGAATGCTTACTCGGGTAAGTACTTACCAAGTTACGTTACCTTACCGGATGAATATGGTAAGGACTAAGAATCTTACCCGGTAAGAGCGAAACAAGGACCGGAAGTCTTATCTAGTAAGTGAGAGTGACAGCTCTTACCACGGTTAGTGTTTAACGGGTAAATTGTTACATACGATGCTGTTTTCGTGGACTAAAATCTTACCCGGTAAGTAAACGATAGTGTTGAATTTCACGGGTAAGTGATTAGGTAATTTGAGGGTTAGGGATCTAGAGAACATCTTAACATGCTGTTGGACTTGGTGTTTATGAAGCTAATTTGACAAACAGCTCATTAACCTTCTGTGATTACTAACACCTAAATGAACTATGCATATAGGAATAGAGAAAGTAGCAAATCATATATGCATGCCTTCACATATCACACCACCTCTTATATACCTCCATTAGATAATCAGTAGGAAAAAAGGTTTAAATAGAATGCAAAGCTGGGTTCATTGATAAGCACCAACCCCCAAAGAACCATGAAACTTGTTACAAATTGAATGTAGCTTTACGATAGCTGATTCAGGGTTACCGGAAAACACTTGTCGTCAAACCAATATAGCCATCGGAAACTGAAGGCTGATCAATTTTTGGAGTTAAAATTTAATGGAACCCCAATGAGTGAAGTCATAAGAATATTAGCAGCAAGCTTCCCCACCTTGGAGTAATTATTAGTCCTCCCTTGTTGTTGCTGCTGCTGATTCATCATCATAGGTTGATTATTATTGATCACTCCATTATAACCACCAAAACCCATCCCTTGCTGCTGCTGCTGCTGCTGCTGCTGCTGCTGCTGCTGGTATTGGTGGTTGATCATCACCTGTTGATTATTATTTGCTCCATTATAACCACCAAACGCCATCCCTTGCTTCTGCTGCTGCTGCTGATATTGGTTGTTGATTATCACAGGTTGGTTATTATAACCAGCAAACGCCGCGGTAGGCATCCCTTGCTGCTGCTGTTTGTATTGATGGTTGATCGTAGGCATCCCTTGCTGCTGTTGCTGCTTGTGTTGGTGGTTGATCATCACGGGTTGGTTGCCATGATAATCACCAGAAGGCGGCGTCATAGATGGATGCTGCGGACAAGGATTCAAAGTCACAGACGGGATTCCGGTAGCCACTGGGATCTGGGTACAAAGAGGGTGGACGTCAAACTCACACGTCTGAGAGTGACAGGTATAGCTAAGGCCGTCTGTGAAGCCTTTGCAGACATCGCAGAAGTGTGAATTCCCAGGGCGGTTGACAAGGAAGAGCTCATGGGGGTGGAGGTGGTGGGAGGAGATACGGTGGGGGGAGGTGGCGCATTGTTGATGGAGATCAAAATCGCAGGCAGAGCATCGGTATCTAAGACCAAATCCAGTGGTTTTGCAGCCGTCACAGTTGAATTGAGATCCCATGAAGAGTTTCTGAAGCAGGTGTTGATGTGTGAAGTGCTGGATCTGCAGTTGATGATCAGGTTGAGGTGCAGCTGTTGATCTATGCAATGGAGCCATGGATCTCTTTGTTTCTTGACTGCAAGATGAATGGCAACTATGGATATCAAGGCAAAGACACAAGACAAATCCAAGAAATGTACAAGTTGTTGATGCACAATGTAGATGCTATCAAATGTGGCTCTCAATCATACGTACAACTCACTAGAGCACTGTCCGACTTGAAATGAAAAGAATCAAAACAATGTACAAATCTTAATGCATGTTGTACAAAAGTACAAACTAGAGAGGAGGTGTACAGTTGTTGATAGACTTAGACTTGGTCAAGAATTTAATTGATAATTATTATTTGGATTTTATTGGGATGATTATATTGGGAATTTTATGGTAGACTTTTTGAAAGGAGACTTGTGAAGGGATGAAAGCAACTGCTTCAAATTGCTGATTGAAGTCAACGGGAAGAGAGAGAGAGAGATAAAAACGATGTCTGATTCTGGGTTCGAACTGGTAACCTCTAGTAATTAACTAAAAAACAAAATTTATTTGACACAAATGCACTACTTCCAAAATTGTTGGCATTGAGAGTTGTATTAGACTACTACACAAATAAAAATCGAAACTTTATGCTAGGAATTAGCTAAGAAAAACTAAAAGCCAAGAACTTTATCTAACGAAAGTGCGACCGAGATCATTCACATGTAACACTAACTATCAAGTAAAAGACATCAACTTAAACTAGGACTTTCATCGAACATTTGGTGTGCAATTCAGAAACTATAAATTCACATTCAAACCCAAATCTGAATATTCCAAAGAGTTAAATATGAACACTTATCAAAACTCAATCCAATACTTTCAAAATCAACAAGACTAAGAGCAACCAACTCAAATTTTACTTAAGAACTAAAATTAAAATTGACAAATATTATTCTCTAATTAAGACTCACGAGAACTAATGGTAGAATAAGAAAAATTGATAAAAATCACCTATTGAATCCCTCCTGTTGCTGCTGTCCAGCATCGTCTCCACGACCACGACCCTTTGATTTCATATCTTTGAAGCGTACAAAAACGAACACAGAAGCTGTTGTTAGTTCTAGGGTTCTAATTTTAGGCTAATAAAGAGAAGGAGATCTATTTCTACTACTTATTGCTTTCAAGGCGAGTGATCTCTATCCTTAAAGCAATTTCGCCCCCACCATATGTGCCTTGGGATTTTGGCGAATTGCTTCTCAAGATACAATGAAGCAACGTATGTAGAACGATTACCAATACTGCACTAGTGGTGATAATCCCGGTTGAACTATTGAGTTTCAAAGATTTAAAAAAACTAAGAAGTTGTGTTTCTATAGCAACACAACCCTTAGCAATCTGGTATATGTTAAAAGAGAAAAGTGTAATCGATTTTTAGTGTTTATGGATAGGTATATATAGGCATAAGCGACAGCTTCTTGAACAGTCACCATTCGCGACGGTTTAATCTTTTTGCGACGTTTCGAACAGTCGCAACCATTCCAACAGGCGCCATATTTGACACTTGAACCGTTGCATCCGTTCATCATACCCTTTGATGCGAACCGTTGTGTCTATTCACGAAGAGGCACTGTTCCAAGGCCAACCGTCGCAACTGTCACTAACGAATTATGGACAATCGGTTTGAAGCAAAAGGGATAAGGCGGCTACAAGCGGCGATGCGTGTGTGCAAAGTGCGTCATCAAAGCGCCACAATGCGCCATCATGCTATGCACCCTTGTGGAAGCCCCATCATTTTCCAATATATTAAATTAATATATAGAAAATGCTTCCCCTTATATACCCACTTGGATTTCACTCTTGCTCCTATGTGGGACAAGGAGAAACCCACCAAAATCATCTTTTCTCTTTTCCTAAAACCTAACCCAAAAGATTTTATTTTTTATTTTGAAAATATTCCCAACAGCTGTCCATCGACAGCCCCTAAACCCAGAAACAGAAGCCGTCTGTGAAGCTTTAACCCCCATTATTGCTGCTATCATGATTTTGTACCCTTTTTTTCCTTTGCTGTCCAACAGCACTTTTTCACCTTCAACATCAGTTTTTAACTCCAATTCAGTCCAAATTTGCAGAAACTCAGAACTTAAAAGCTGTAGGCTCGTTGTAGCTTTCCATATCATCTTGAATCACTTAAATCCGAGCCGGGACTAGTGAGATATGCTCCAAGTACCATAACCTCGTAAAGCTATCAAAAATCCTTTTTTCATCCATTTTCCCCTCCAAACCTGTCAAAATGCAAAAACACATTAATGTAGTTCGTTTAGCGCATTAATAAGGGGTGATTGACGAGAAAATAAACTAGAATTAAACAACCCATCATCTATTGAAGTTCCCAAATCATACAAAATCAGAATTAATCTTCAAAATCAAGAATAAGATTGAGTAGGGATAGATTTTCACCAAATCTTCTATTGATTTCTTGAGAGAGAAAATTACAGAATGTAATTCATGTAATGGTAATTCACATGTTTTTGGTTCTTGTTGCAAAAATAGTGTATTGAAATGAACATATAGCTTCTTTTATTTGTAGACTAGACCACCACTTAATGATGAGCGTTATTTGTGATCGATGTTTTATCCCTTCCAACGAGTCTCTGGTTCAGATAGCTTCTTTCACCATCTTATTCTAATCTTTCATTATTTGTATTATTCTCTTCTCAGACTTATTATTTTCTGTAAAAACCCGCTGTAATTCAGTGGCCAAAATTAGCTCTTTCCTACAATATTTATAGCTAAAAATAAGGTTTCTCTGATTATGAATATTGCATTTCATATTGAACTTATATTCTTCAGATACATTAGCTTTTATCTCCCCAATGCTCATAAAGTTGAGAAGCCTTAGTGCATGCTTGTCACCATGTCTCCTTCAGCTATTCAATCCAAGCGTAAATAATGCATGCTTGTCACCATGTCTCCTTCAGCTATTCAATCCAAGCGTAAATAATGTGTTATTAAGCTTGTTGTCGTTGCCTTACACATGCTGTTAATCATGGTCTGAAAACATCCCTTATGCGGTTTTGTAGCTTTGGGGCTTCATTCACAACGTATTGGCTACCGTGGAGCATCTCCTGATAAGTTTGTCATTGTGTTAGGCTGCTTTTGAGCTATCACCAACAAGGAAGACAAAATGTCTATTGTTCAGTAAATATATCTGATCGTATCTTGCATTCATTGTTATGCATATTTGACAGTTGTTATTTCTCAACTAACAAGTTAAGAGAGCTTGAATTGGCTCATAAACTGCATTCTTGACTTTTGATTGTGTCTTTTTACTACATGAATTTCTTCGTAGTCATGTCCAATGTGTGTTTGGTTTATATGCAGAAAGGTGTTCCTGCATTTACTGTGCCCCAACCCGAAGAAGCTATGCAAGTACTCAAGAAGAAGGCTTCACAGTTGGATGTAATTCACATTATCTTTAACACATAGTCTGCTTCATTGCGTAGTTGAAAGTATCTATGACTCGTCATTTAGTAGGGAACTCATGTTTATTAACCGTTGTATGGACTGCTCATTTTAGAACTAATTCCTAAGCTACTGTATAGTCGCTGCTCTTGGGAAGTCGAGCTATATGGGACATGCTGTGTTAGCCTGTGTCATATAACCGCATCCTACTTCTATAAGAAGCTGTTGAACCCTACCAATTGAGAATCTTGAAAAAATGTTAAAAGTTCTAAGCATCTCACGATTACAATTGAAACTGCTTTGCGTATCATACAGTTTTACTTTTTATTCAATATAGATGATTTACTTTGAACAGCAACACTACAAGACGGGACCAGATCATTCCAGACCCGTCATTTGATATTGAAAGTCCAGGAGATTAGTCGACTCGCATAGTGGGTTGGACATTCAGGTTAATAAAAAAAATATAAAGAAACAGAAAAATTAGTTATTATATTAAAAGAAGAAGAAAAAAAAAAGACGGACTAGCAATCCAACCCTGGATTTTGTTCTGGAGACTGGTTCATACTCGAACTCGTTACAGAAGGACCGGTTGAAGCATGTGGGCGTTGGGACTGGGACCGGTTTTCCCACCTATACACTGAAAACAAACCTAATATATCTCACTTGATATATAAGTTCAAGTTCAACCAAATTAAATTAGACGAGTATATCCCAATCGATGGTAGGGTCTGAAAGGTGAAATATATACAGACTTGATCTCTAATATAATATAAATAGTACCCCGCAATTCCAATGGGGTGTGCCAAATGATTATCATTGGAACCATTAACAGTATTAAAGAAGCCACAACCAACACTTCCATTCAACTACATCTAGTTGTCAATCATTGCAAGTACAAAGGAAACCTAGGGGAACTTAACCAATTACATCTTTGTAGACATCAAGAACTTGTTTTTCTTCTCAGCTGGTTTTAGGATTTGAAACGAACACATCAAATTCTCATCCACGCTCATCATCGCACCTGCGTTATCAAATTCCCCACAATAATTTGGGGCCGAGAATATAGTAACAAGTTGTCTGTCTGCAAAGAATTCATAACCATCCTCCACAACCTACAATATAACAAGAAAAATTAATAACCAAATGCTCCCTCTATCCCAAATGAATAACATTGATTATGGTCCTCAAGATTTTCTCTTTAAAAGTACCTGTTCCCCCATAGTATTGATTAGGGTGTTGCTATATGCACCCGTATTTATGTCAGAATCAGATCAAATTATGCATTGAAAATGCAAAAAGTAGGTCTTGATGTTGATGTTAGTAGGTTGGGGTGCATTTAGCCTACCCCTATTGATTATAGTCCTCAAGATTCTCTCTTTGGTATTCCAGACCAAACCAAACAAACCCACTATATCACGCTCGAATGCAGGGACATAGGGGTATTCAGACACCGGCTAAAATAGATACTTATGTTAGACTAGTATCTAGTCATACATTACATTCTTGTTGAGATGAAAGAATAAAAAAGCATAAGAGATTGGTTATTACCTGGTGAGCTCGACAAACAAGGTCAAGATCATGCTTTGATAAAAACTCCGACACCTTATCAGGTCCAAAGGTATAAGAAACCCCTCTATCATTCATTCCCCATCCTTTGATGTCTTTGCTAGGATCCGACCACAGCAAATCACAAAGTAAACCAGTATCAGGAATAGCAGTCGGGCGTGGTAAGTTTCTAATTTCGTCCAAATTGGAAAGATCAGGGGAGAGTCCACCGTGCATGCACAATATCTTGTCATCAACAAGAGCCGCAACAGGTAGGCAATTAAAGCAATCAGTAAAGGCTTTCCATAGCTTCACATTAAACCGACGCTTACATTCATCATAAAACCCGTAAATCCTATTTATGGAAGCGCATTCATGGTTTCCTCGGAGAAGAAAAAAGTTCTCCGGGTACCTGATTTTGTAAGCAAGCAAGAGACATATTGTTTCCAAACTCTGCTTGCCACGATCCACATAGTCCCCGAGAAAAAGATAATTGGCTTGGGGAGGAAAGCCTCCGTATTCAAAAAGCCTCAATAGATCACTGTATTGTCCATGGATGTCGCCTAAAAGTGGGGAAAGGGGATGGCGCAAATCAGATATAGCAGTTTTAGTAAAGCTTTGAAAATGATTCAAAATAATTACTGATCTTTACCTCATGCAACACAATGCGATCCAAAAAACTTGCTTTAATTTTGAAAAAATCCGAAACAGGATAAAGAAACAAGCTTGAATCATATTGCAATAAAGAAGGAACCCAATAATTGTGGCGTTGTATTAAGAGCATCCACAATGGAGTTCTTTGGAGAGCTTTCAATAAGATGGTGAAAGAGCTCCTATCAAAGAAAAACAACTTTTTGTTTGTAACCGCACAAGCTCTCAACAAGAGAATCGACAATGGTATAGCTTTTTCCAAAAAGTAGGATCCACAAGCTTAGGTGGCCAAGAAAAAGAGACTTATTGTGAGTTTGTGCGGCTACAAGCAAAAACAAGGATTTTTGGTTGTTGGGAATTTTTCACAATGTGAGGTGGCCTAAGCTTTTCAATAAGCTCTCAAAAAGCCTCCATTGTGGATGCTCTAAGCTTGTTTTACCGACCACCTAAGCTTGTGGGTCCCACTTTTTTGGGGGAAAAAACATCATTGATGCTCTAAGATCATGAACATTTAGTATTTAGTTCACAGAAAACCCTGATTCTGGATAGTTAGTTTAGCAATGAGAAGGCAAATGCAGAAATTAGTGGCACCTCATGATCTTGATGCCTAATTAAAACCGATCATTACATTGAGATTGAAGGGACAAGAAAGCTACTGAAAGCATGAACTAATGTTTTACCAACAAAAAACTGTTCAAAAACTAAAATGCACGTAAACATTCTCAAAGTAGCTTCTTGCTTTGGTTTTCAGTAAAATAAATGATTATGTGTCCATCTAAGATCAGGATGAACTTTTTTGGAACCATTTCTCCTTGTTGAAAGCTGATAGTGTTCAAAAACACCGAAACTTATAAATATAGAATCCAGTGTTTGAATGCAGAAAAGGGAAACCAGCTCTAAATGAGTTAAACAGAGAAGACAAGTAATCTTACAACAGAGGGATAGTTGCATGCATAACACAACTAAGCACATGCCCAAAACACCTTAGTATAAGTTATAAACTTATAATCATGTTACTTAGTATTGCCACCATAAATTAACGTGAAGACAAGACTAACATATAATCCTCCGACCTCCGTCTCAATATAAGTGTCCACATTTCTATTCTAGTTTGTCCCAAAATAAGCCACCACTTCCAAAAAATAAGCGCCTACTTCCCAATTCTACCCTTGATTAAGAGTAAAATTGTCGTTTAGTTAACTAAAAAGTGTAATAACTATGCATTTCTAAAACTATGTGCCTTTTTCATTGTGGACATTTACTTTTGGGACGGTGGGAATAACAAAGAACCATCACCTTAGGGCAGTTGGGGCAGGTTAAAAATGGTTTGAAGTGTAGTCTAGACATCCCTAGGCTCAGCTATTTGAGAATTGCATTACTCTACACTCCTAATTAAGGTCTAGTCCTTGGTGCATTCCAACCGATTAAATCATTCCACACTGCTTATCTTGATATTGTTCTTATTCATCAAGGAGAACTAGGTGTGCCTTGTCGAACGAAAGCATAGAACTTGTTTAGGATAAATATAACGATGAAAGAAACTAGTAAGAGAGGGCTCTCACACATTCCACAAAGTAAATCTTCAAAGAGTGATACACTTTTCAAGCCATCTTACTTTACATTTCATAGCAAACAAACCATTGTTCTTGTAAGTATCAGCAAATTGTGGGCAGATAATTGCAATGTCAAATCGTTTATTTTGCATTTACTTCACACAATTTGGTCAGCATTGCTCGTTCTTGCAATCCTTAGATTCACCTGATTCATGAAGTTCATCAAGTTTACACATGATCTCGATTTCCTAATGCATTTCTATCTACCTCAAACCATTATTAACAACTCTTTTAATCATTCAAGAGGCTAATATAACCAAGTAAAATTCAAAACAAGCCCTTTGATCACCAATTAACTACTAATCCCCCCCCTCCCCCCAAAAAAAAATAAAAAATCAAGTCCACTTCATAACTGAAATAATCTAAGGTTAGAAGCCCCCATTTGGTGAAAACCACCAATGTAACAATCAATTACGTAAAGCAAAGGTAAAACATCAAATATACGCAATCCCACAAAATCAAAAGTAGCAAGAAGAATAAAGATGAGTTGATTAAACGCTTGAGCAATAGAGAAATGGATTCAGGAATACCGCAAATCTTGATAGGGGCTTCGAGTTCAAGAAGATTAGGCTGTTTGATAAAGATTTCACGAGACGCAACACAAAGCTGCTTGATTTCAGCCTCTGAGAGCTGAACCAACTTCCCTGGTTTAGTCGATCGAACCTCAATTAACCGTTCGATTATCCTATCGAGGGCTACTGGGTCCATCTCAAGAACCAAAACCTATTTCAAATTTTTCTTCCAACTGTTGAAAGACTGCGTGAATCGAAATGCAAGTTGTTTAATCTAATAACGGAGACTGAAATGAGTAGATAACTGAGAGAAACGGCTGGAACTCAAATGCGACGGAGTCGCCCCAAAAGTGTGTCATCATGTGATTGGTTACATAGGATATTTCAAAGGAAGCCATTTTCGTGAATTGTTCTCCTAATAATTTTTGTTTCCCATTTACAAAAAAGTCATTGTCTTTCCATAAATGATACCTACCCAGTTAAAAGATAAAAAAAAAATTCACAATTTTTATTCGTTAATAAAACGTTAAATACTTTTCAAACCGTTGGTCAAATATGAATAATTGAGTGTTAATACAAAACTAGAAGACCGACCCTTATCGTTAGAAAATTGCATCTTACAACTTTCGCTGTTAGATTATTTATTAACATGCACGATCTGTATGGAGAATAAGATTCATTTCTTATTCATACTGTTTTTATGCTATTTTTGGAATAATGGGTATTCGGACTATCTTACACGTACCGAGTAAGCTCTCCGGCAACCACGAATAACCTCTATGATCAAAACAGCTTTGACAAAAGCTAAATTCGAACTCGACAGAGAGATGAAATTTCTACTACATTCCATGAGACTTAACCGATGCACTATAATCAAAGTGGTTATATTGTATTTGTATTTTGTTATTTAGGGTTATAATATTTAATTCTTTTCAAACAATAATTAAAACAAAGTTCCATAAAATAAAACCTCTATGAAAAAAATGTAGGGACCGAAAAAGTAAATACCATTCACTTATGAATCAATAAATAGCTCATTAATTTAGAGAAGGTTTTAATATTTTATACATATTTTGTAATTTAGAGAAGGTTTTAATATTTTATACATATTTTGTAATTTAAATGTATATATAATATTAACATGATAATACTAAGGTCTGTTTGGTTTGCATAACAAAATTAATTGGATATGATTTGAAATTGAGTTTACTCTGATTCAATGTTCGGTTTGAAAGATGTATTGAATTTGAAATCCTGGAATTTTGTTGAAATCTAAGGATAAGGTTTTGAAATTTGATAGAGTTGGTTGGTATTTTACAGGATTTTGTTGGATTTTATATTATAATATTTTAAAATATGTTAAAAATATTTGTTTTGTAATAATCAATTAATGAAAAGGTAATTTAGTTATTTTTACGATTATTTAGAATTTGTTTTATAAACTATTTATAAATAACTAAATTCGATTCAATTCAAAATCCTATAAACCAAATATATCAAATATTCTGAATCATTCTATAAAAATTTATTGTTGTTTTCGTCCTTAAGATTAATTATGTCAAAAAAACAACAACGAACCTAAACTGCAAGGACAAAATTATTCATCAAGAAACTATGTTCGGTTTGAGTGCAAACATAGAGTCTCTATATCTTTTATATATATATATATATATATATAGAGAGAGAGAGAGAGAGAGAGAGAGAGAAAGAAGGGTTCAAACGAGAACCCCTGTGATTTACGAGAACGAGAGAACAATCCAATAACCTCATATTGTGATAAAAAAAATAAAATTAAAAGATTTTTAAAATTAAAATTGAAATTTAAAAAGATTCAAAAAATATTAAAATTAAAAGGGTAATAATGGAAATGATATCATAAAATCTTTTAACACAATTACACGATCATGATTATCATTATCTAATAAACGGTTAATCATGTGATTATCATGTGAGATGGGTGTGATAATCATGTGATTATCACAAAATTATCACATTATCGCTTATATCAACACGATTTGGTGTGATAATCATGTGATTATCACACAATTATCAAAAGGATTCCGTTCGGCTAGGGTTAACTTAGAAAATCGACTACCGATTTGGTGTGATATGGGTGTGGTAATCATGTGATATCACTATTATAACAGCTCACTCGATTTGATCATGGTTTCGATCGGTTAGGGTTAGACAATCACACATTTATCACAACGATTACTCATGGTTTCGATAGGTTAGGATTAGACAATCACACATTTGTCACAATGATTACGAGCGAAATCCACTAAACGATTTGATGTGATATGGGTGTGATAATCATGTGATATCACTATTATATCATCATTTGCGCACTCAATTTGATCATGGTTTCGATCGATTAGGGTTAGACAATTACACATTTATCACAATGATTACTCATGGTTTCGATAGGTTATGGTTACACTTGATTGATCATGGTTTCGACAGGTTATGGTTACACAATCACACAATTATCGCAAGGGGGGAGAATATAATGGAAACGAACATGCAGGAAAAAAAGGGGATAATTATGACTAATTAAATAAAATAAAAATAATAAAAATTACTTAATTACATTATTGCCCTTATTAATTTATTTATATTTAATATAAGTTAATTTATTAATTAAAAAAGTTTGAGGTTATTAGGTTGTTTTCGCGTTCTTGTAAATCACAGGGGTTCTTGTTTGAACCTCCACCTATATATATATATATTTCTAAATTACTAGAAGGATACTCGTGCAATGCAACAAAATACATCTTTATTTTAATATTTCGTTTTATTTTTAGTCTCTGTTGATATAATACCGTTATGTGGTTTTAAGAAAGATAATATTTTTACTTTCGAATAAAAATATATTTGAAGATATCATAAATATTTGGAAAAAAATATATCGATATTAATATCATATTAACTATTTAAAAGTTTTCTTTTATTGTACAATTTCTTTAATTCAAATTTTTTTATTATAATTTAATTTAAGTCTAATAGCGAAGTAATTTATTTTTGGATTAACAATATAATTTTTATAAAGATAATGATTCTATTAGAACTCAATGATTATCTTAATTCTATTTTAATTTTTTTATATTTAAAATAAGATGTTTATCTCATATTTGATTATGTTTATCTGCAGTTAGTTATATGAATTCAAAAATGGAGATCTAGATAAGTTGTACTTGCACATAATTTATTTGTAATCTTAAATTTTAAGTAATATACATTATTAAACAATATCTTCATACATAAAAAATGGTTAAGAATTTTTATCAAATATTTTATAATATAATATAGATATATATTTTACATTAAAAAAACTCGATAAAAAGTCAAATGCGGCTCTTATATGAATAAACTTAACATGTATTTTGGTTTTGTGACGATAGTGGACATGAACGACATGCCACTTAATTTAGCATATTTATTTAGTTATTATTTTTTTCCCTTCAACATAAAATCAATATTAGGGTCCATTTACCAAAAACTTATCCAGATAAGTGTCTATTCGCAAAATTCAACATGATCACTTATTTATCGGGTAAGATTTTAATCCACCAAAAAAATGATATCAAATGCAACAATTTACCCGCTAAGCGCTAACCATGATAAGAGTTATCGCCCTCACTTAGACTCTCGGTACTTGTCTTTGCTCTTACTAGGTAAGATTCTTGGTATTTATCATATTCATCCGATAAGGTAATATTACTTAATAAGCGCTTACCTGAATAAGCGTTTGGTAAACGGCCTCTTAAATCAACCATTATTTGTGGAAATAAGCGAACAAATACCATTAAATAACAAAATAGAAAATCAGAATTAATCTAAACCAGGAACTATTTAATAAATTCTAAATACAATAACCGGCTTTAAAAAAAATTAAAATTATATACATATTGTTTTATTTTGTTTCTCAAATCAAATTTTTTGGTCACCCTTACCAAAAACAAAAAAATTTGCTCACCCGTGACGTAACGTATGTGGTTGTTTGCAACAGTTAACAATGTCATTTTCATCCATAATGAAGACATAGTTTCAATCAATAATAACCGTCAAACATGCATCTATTATTACTCTCACATTCAACTGACGTAAGTTAGGCTTTATTTGATATTCTCTTATTTTTAATCCTTCTAAAGGTTTTGACCGAGTTTTTCAATTCAGAGTGTTTGATATCAACGTTTTCATCTTTGAATGAGGTCTGCTTCGTTGATCGAAATTGACAACTCCTTCCTCTCTTCGGACCCTTACCCATTATTCAGCGATGACATTTCTCCATTTTACCCTTTTGATTTGTTTTGTCTCGGTTGCTTTGTGTATGCAATAAAACGATTTTGAAGATACAAGAAAACTGGAAAACGTCACCATTGTAGGCAAAGATGTTCTCCAACATGGAAAGAGGTGGATCTAACCACAAGAGTGATGTCTGATTGGTTTGAACTTGGCTCCAAAGGTCAAAAGTACCAGGAGGTCTCAAATTCAAATCCAAGAAAGAATAAAAATCCCCTTGTGGCCATGGAAGTTCAAATATGGTGACTCCGGACTATCTGTAAAACAGATGGTCGCCATGAGATTAGTCGGCTCGCATAGCGGGTTGGATATCCAGGTTAATAAAAAAAGGTGGATCTAGATTTTTTTTTCAAGCGGCAATGCTATTGGACCATAAGATTTAAAGCTACAGAAAGTTTTTGAAAAATAGTTGAGTGGTTTATTGTATTTGCAATAAAAGATTACCGGTTCAATTCCTATCTACGTTTTTCTTCAATATTTTCACAAAAATCAAAATTAAAAAGAACGTTTGCTAAGAGCAAGACTCCAAGTCTCCAGCCGTGCAAGATGTATTAGACCAATTCATCCATCCCAAACTTATATTGTAAGTTCAGTTTTTAGATATATACGAGCACACAAAGAAACATTACAATCAATATCACTCTTCAAAAACGTAAATCTTTTTCCACTAAGACGAAACCATGAATTGGTAACACTCACCTCTCTACGTAGATCCGCCCGTGAACATGGGCAGATTTAGTAAGGAACTAATATGTTGGCCAGTGCCACCACTAATTCACTAAATTTGTCCCTTGGGGTAAAAGAATTTACGAACCTTAATGATGTTATCATTGTAATTTGTTTTTGTGCAACTATTGAATTGGGCATCTTTATTGAAAAATAAAAGGTTATAATAACGTATCAAAACTTAAATTTAAGTATTTACAAGGATAAAATACAAAAATACTATATGTAATTAGGTTTTCTATAGTATTTATTGCTGTAATTAAATTTATTTTATCATATTTAAATTACATTAATTATTAGATCAACCTTTTTTAATAGAAACACCCAATAATTCCTCAAACCCCTGACCCCACGGCTCACGGCACCGACGACTACGAGAGAAGAGTGGAAAAAGGGACGGTGGAAATTGGATGGCCTTCCATGGACTCACTTTCATTGGAAAAAGGGAAATAAATAAACAACTAATTAAAAATAAAAGTTTTATATTTACTTTTATTTATATTATATTATAAAATATTTAATGAAAATCTTTTAAACCATTTCTTATATATAAATACTATTTATTGATGTATTTTGTTTAAAATTCAAGATTACAAGTAGATCGTACGTAAGTTAACTCATTAAAGCTTTATGTTTGAATTCGTATAACTAACTATATATACACATAATTAAATACAAGATAAACATCTCATTTTAAATATAAAAATATGAAATATAACTAGGATAATTATTGAGTTATAATAGAATACTTAATTATTACCTTTATAAAAAACTATGTTATCAAATCAAAAATAAATTACTTCCTAATTAAATTAAATTATAATAAAAAATTGAATTATTAAAGAAATTAAACAAAAAAAAAGACTTTTTAAGTAGTTGATTTGGTACTAATATCGATATATTTTTATAATTTTATATTTTATTCAAAAATAAAAACATCATTGTTTTCTCAAAACCATATGGAATCGTATTATAACATCAATAAAAACAAAGAGTAAAAGAAAACATTAAAATCGAGATATATCTCGTTGCATTATTGCGGATACCTTTTTAGTTATATCACAAAATATTTGACGAAAACATTTCAGAGTAACTTATTGGACATTATATATTATTTATAAATATCAATATCTAAGTTATAAGTTATTATAATATGTGCAAAAATTATTTGATAATTATAAAATTAACTATAAGTAATTAATAGATATAATTTTATAAAATTTTATTTTTAAGTCTACGAAATAGTATAATATCATTTTCCTTATTAATAAAAAATACAATAAAATAGATTTATATATTTAAATCTAAAATATTTGAGTTAACAATTTATTCAGAGATATGAGAAGTTAAATAGCATAGCTGTTGGAGCAACAAAAATCTCACATTTTTCCATTTTAAATACTCTTGTAAAGCAAAGCAAATGAGTGTTGCAAACATGATGCATATGTCCAACTGCAGGCATCCTGTTAAGTAAAGCAGCAAGAAAGAAAAACAAGAATCTATAATTTGATATTACTACTAATTTGTGTTGAGGAAAACAATATTTCCAATTTAGAAAAAACACAATTATCCTCCTCTTCCTCCTCTTACCTATAAAATGTTTTTGTTTCCTATAACTCATCATCATCTTGTTTTAAACTAACTTCATCATCATCATCATCTGCAAGGATCTATATTTGACAATACTTGCTTAAGTTTCTCGTATGTCATGAACACGATCCCAATGCTCGGCACCACCTTGTAATATTCAGGCAATATTCCTCTGTATATTCCACGTATACCTTCTGCTCGTATGATTTGCCCAAATGTACCAAAAATACCTGTCTTATAAACACGAGCCCGACCACCTGCTCCTTCCAACTGCATCCGCCGCCTCACAAGATCCAGAGGAAATGTTACTGCAACAAATTGTTGAAAATTGTTTTTAATCATAATAGCAAATAACTAATGCTAACTTGAAACCATCCCAAAATAAGTATTAAAGAAAGGATGTTTTTGATCATAAGAATGCATACCACCACATAAAAGACGACGAAATACCTAATAATTTTACCGGCATAAACTCAAATATATTAACATCCATCATGAATATCCCTAATGAACAAACAAAAGGACTAACAGGTCTGTACTTGCACCAAGAACCTCTTGCACCAGCAAGGGACCCCCCCTTTCATATTTTTTCGATTCCATAAATGGACTCGGCTGGGCTGCGAGAACCAACTTCAGTTTTGGAGAGCCAAATTAACTGAAGTTATCCAGGCAAGATTCTGAGCCGGAAATTTGATGATGTTAGTTTACAAATGATAAATATGTAAAATTTATGTTAGATTGCTCCCTTACTGTTTGAAAAGGATTGCTTTCCTTAATAAATCCCCAAGTGCCAACTCCAAGGCCCTAAGGGACAATCTGGTTATATATTTAGTAGAAAGCCTGCCTCGCAACCTGCTTCTCTGCACCAAAAGCATCGAAGACAGCTACAGGCATTAACTTCTTTTTGTGAAAGAGCAGAACATTCTCTAAAACATAATTATTCAATTAAATCAATTTTGAGCAAATTAATTACAGAATTTTCGATAGGATGGTCATAGTGGATAGAGGTGAAATGGATACAAGGTAAAAGTCAGGCAGTTGCAACATTGTTCCATATTTCTATTGTTTTTTGTAATGCATATGAAAAACTCGATTTTATGATCCCAACGCACCATGATACCAAGGATTTTCACTTATACATATTATTCAAAGAGAGAGTAGCTTTTTTGCTTCCCACAATTAATCTTTGGCTAACATTGAACTGATGAAGCCTCCCAAATACGTTCCTATATAATAGATTTGATCACTGACCTGTTGATGATGCAATCCCTGAAAGACTTCCACAAGCCAGGCTGACCAGGACAGCGGAATCCTCCGGCCTGTCACCAACAAAACCGACATCAGAGTTTGAGCATTACAATTTGTCTTTTGCATTCCTATCACAACCGTCCATCCAATAAAGTAAGTAAAACTATAAAGAATACAAAAAACAGTAATACCAAGGTCTGGGTTGCATAGCATCTCAATAAAACCAACAGCAAAATAACGTCTCCATGCTCACCTTTGCAATTGCCAGTAAGATCTAGCAGTGTCATAAACTGAGAAGCTAATTGCTAGATTGGGACCAACACCCTGTAAAACCATGCCATCAGTTGAAAGAGAAAACAAATAAAAACACAGTCAAAAACTTAAAAACCATTAGCTTATAGAATGATACCAATAGACAAGCGCCAAGTCCTTTATAGAGGCCAAAGATGCCCTCTTCCCTGCTGATGGTACGTAAAGCATGCCATATACCTCTATAATAAATAACATTTCTCTGCAAAAATATTTAAAAAGGACTAAGGACATGCAAAAGGATGGGACTGACAAATTACAATTGCTCAATCGAATTCAGCAAGCATGGGGCATGCTAATAAATGCCTACCTGAGCTGAAAGACGCGTTCTCACAAGATCTAAAGGATATGTAACGGAAGCAGCAGTTATGCCAGCTAAGCCACCACCTGCAAGTCGTATAAACAAGCCTGCACTTATGTTCGTCCCATGACTGTCCACTCCCGTTATCAGCTGTAGTAACTGTAAGGTGAAAGAAACAAAAAAACATTATAAAATCAAATATAATCAAATTACAGGATACATCTTAATCGACCAAGAAATATTTGATGCAATTATGGAATTCTAGCAAAGAACGTTTGTACCAACATTCTTGTAGCGTTCAAATGCATAGAAACTGATGGAGGAGTAAGGTAGACGATGAGCAATTGTCACCAAGTTCCCCTTCCAGAATGCACGGAATCCTTCTTCACTAACTATACGTGAAGCTTCACGCCATAAAGAGGCCTTTCTCAATGTGGAAGCATCTGAGTGCATGCCTTGCACCTGTTGAACCAATAAATTCTGTATTAAGGAAGATGGGAAAGACATACAAACAGAAGGAACATACAGGATTCAAGGTATTTATCCAATCAAAAGAAAGAGATTCAAGATCACTTATTGCAAAACTAATTTGCAAAATCAACCAAAGAATTAATCAGTCTGCTTAACAGCCAAAGAGTATATCACTAGGAAAGGTACAAGAACAAAACATGAAAAAGCAATAGACCAAATATCCATGAGTACAGATCAGACTCCTAAACATACCTGAAGTAAACTACCCTTGTTTGGGAACCCACCAACACCAGTTTTAATCTCGGTAATGTTGCAACTTCCTGACACGAAAAGGCTAAAGAACAACGATGGATACTATTGACCCCATCTTACAGATGGATAGAGTGATACCCAAAACTTCACTGTTCCCTTAAGGAAAGTTTGCAAGACTTGCATCTCTCAGAAAGTAAATAAATCAGCAACATCATCAGCCTTGTTTTCCTTTTACTTTTTACATTCCATTTTGTTTTTTGTTTTTTCTACATTCCAGACTTGGTGCGCATTGGTTACATAATCCTCACAATGTATCCATCAAACTATTTTCTACCATAATACTAGTTTTCATGCCAATAAAGTTTGAAGGAGATCTTTTAGTTTCATCCTCTCACACTGGCACCAAACTTTTTCATTTTGGCCTGATTCAAGAATAAGAAAAGAACTTAAATATGGCCAACCCCCTGAAACCCATTCAAGGAACTCAACAACCTATCCCACCCCTCTCCTTCCTTTCTCCTCACTTCCTAGACCCACACACACAAACATACACTCTCTCTCTCTCTCTCTCTGCTCCCGGCATCAATAATTCTGGTTAATTCATACAGATTTTGAAGAATATGCGTGCCATTCATCCAATCTCAGATTCTGGTATTTAACATATCATATTGTTCATAAATGTCAACTAGAAGGTTGCCCCCATAAGCAACTAAAAATGTAAATTTTACCATGTAAAACATGCTCCACTGCCACCTAATTGAAAACCTAAAGGTAAACACAATTTGAATTATTAAAGGCAATTTTGATTTAAGCATTTACTCTATCTCCTTCTCTTGGACCAAAAACCAAACAGTAACAGCAACACAATTCATATATATGTCTGGTAGCTTGAAAGTACTTTCAGATGTCTAATTCCTTAATCTTCCTCCAAAAACATAGCCCAAAAAAGCTGCCTTGTTATTACATAGCATGTCTCGAAACATGTTTAGGAAGCTGGTGTATTCGATCTACCCAATAGAAGTCACCTTATCCTAATGCTAAATGCATGACGCAAGTGTACTAATTAAAGACGTCAATCCTTAGACCAGGCTCTATAATTAACTTCACACTTTTCATCCAATCGCATACTTCCGAAGAATAACAGCAGCATACTTGCATTCTATTTTTCTACACCAACTAACTCAGATTTATGATAGCTACATTACTTCTTCTGTCCCAACACCGATTGAACCTAAAAGATGTTTTACAAGAACATCGATTAAGTTTCGATTTCGTTTCATATACATAAATTTCCCAAATCAATCAAGAACCGGTCTTTGGTGCATAGTCTAATTATATCCACAAATATTACAAAAGAGATAAATAAAAAAATATATATGAAAAAACCTGAAAAAGTATAGTGAGGCGAGCGAGAGGAGCAGTGCAGGTCTTGCTAACGGCGCCGGCAACACCACCTGCTATAAGTTGAGAAACTGTCCCTACCTGAGATTGCTGATGTTGCACCGGCCTCTGGTGATGCGCCACCAATTTACGAGCCGGACCACCGCCTTCCACCACCCCTACCGTTGCTTCCGTTTGCATATTTTACTAAAACTCTCCCTCTCTCTCTCTATATATATATATAAAATTGATGATGACGAATCTAACCAAAAAGACGATAATGTTATAGGAAAAATTGGCTAAAACATGATTGTAATTAAGATCTGCAAGTAAAATGACAAAACCCTAGAAGATGATGATCCTGGTGGGAGCAATCAGTAAGCTTCCCTTGAGAAATCTTGAAGTTGTTGGTTGTATCCAGTTGGAATTGGCGTATGAATGGTTCTTGGCGATGAAGATAACTCCAAATCGGCGTGGGAGAGCACCAAGCAACACGCCCAATTCATCTCGATAAAGGATTGCACTTTCAATACGTAAGCATAAAGGAAATAAAAGGTCGGTTATTAAACAAAATATCAAATTAATTTCCTAAAAGATATCAAATAATAATAAAAAGGTAAATTATATGAATTATCGTTACTAAAATTAACCACATTAATAACACTGCTTTTGACTTAATTTTAATAAATCACATAATTTATTAAATAACTAGAATGATATTTGCACAATGCATCGAGATATATCTTGATTTTAATATTTTATTTTATTTTTTATCTCTGTCGATGTTATAATATGGTCTTATGTGATTTTGAAAAAACGATAATGTTTTTATTTTTTAATAAAATATAAATTTGAAGATATTAACTATTTAAAATTTCTTATTTTTTGTGTAATTTTTAAGTCAATTTTTTTATTATAATTTAATTTAGGTTCAATAATGAAGTAATTTGTATTTGATTTAATAATATAATTTTCTTAAAAAGATAATAATTAATTATTTGTTAGAATTCGATAATTATCTTAATTATATTTTAGATTTTCTTATATTTTAAAATGAGATATTTATCCTCTATTTGATTATGTGTATCCGCAGTTAGTTATATGAATTCAAACATCGAGCTTTAATAAGTTGTATTTTTGCATAATTTACTTGTAATATTGAATTTTAAGTAAACATTGGTTTTATATAGTTTTGAGAAAGTGATAATGTTTTTATTTTTGAATAACATATAAATTTAAAAATATCATAAAATTTTGAAAAAAAAATATCAATATCAGTATTAAATTAATCTTTTTAAAAGTTCTTGTGTTTTGGTGTAATTTTTTTAATTAAATTTTTTTAATTATAATTTAATTTAGGTTTAGTAATATAAATTTTTTATAAAGATAATAACTAAATATTCTGTTAGTTATCAATGATTATCCTAATTATATTTTAGATTTTTTATATTTAAAATGATATGTTTATCCAATATTTGATTATGTTTATCTGTAGTTAGTTAGACAACTTCAAGTATGGAGCTTTAATAAGTTGTACTTATGCACAATTTACTTGTAATCTTAAATTTTAAATAATATGTATCAATAAACAGTGTTTCATACATAAAAAATCGTTTTTAAAAGTTTTTGTCAAATGCTTTATAATATAGTATAGATTAATATAACAAAAGTAAAGATAATTTACTCAATGTATTTATCATGAAAATCTAATCGAAATATTTATCTTGAAAAATAGTAAATATTTGAGTAGTACATAAATGATTTTCAAGATTATATTTGATTGGTCAAAAATTGGGTCTTTGACTTACCAAAAATTGTGACTTTTACGGGTCAAAATTTATGGGTATACAAAAAATAAAGGTGGTAGTTTTGTAACTTTTATAAATAGAGGACAAACGAGTTTATATGTGAATACGTGTGATTTACATATGAAATATGCATTCATATATGAACCTGTGTGATTCACATATGAACTAATTAACTGATTCACGTATGAACCTTTGTGATTTACATATGGACTAATTAACTGATTTACATATGAACCTGTTTGTCTTCTATTTTTAATTACGAAACTACCCTCTATCTTTCGCGTAGTCATGTGAGGAATTATCCGCTGCTTAACAGTCAAAGCCGTAAATGTTGACCAGATATGATCAATTATTTACTTCTTAAATACTTACCACTGAACCTTTCTCATGTTTACTATTATATAGTATAGATATATACTATATAATAAATCATTTGACAAAAACTCTTAAAAATCATTTTTTATGCATTCAATATTGTGTATTAATGATATTACTTAAAATTTAAAATTACAAGTAAATTGTGCGTATATACAACTTATTAGAGCTCTATTTTTAAATTCGTATAACTAACTGCAGATGAACATAATCAAATACAAGATAAACATCTCATTTTAAATATAAAAAAATCTAAAATATAATTAGGATAATCATTGAATTCTAACAGAATCATTATATTTATAAAAATTATATTGTTAAGTCAAAAATAAATTACTTTGGTATTAGATCTAAATTAAATTATAATAAAAATTTGAATTAAGGAAATTGTAAAAAAAACGAGAACTTTTAAATAGTTAATTTGATATTAATATCGATATATTTTTTCAAATTTTTATGATATCTTCAAATTTATTTTTATTCAAAAGTAAAAACATTATCTTTATCGAAACCACATAAACCGTATTATATCAATGGAGACAAGAAATAAAACAAAACATTAAAATGAAGATGTATGTCGTTGTATTGCATGAGTACCCTTCTAGTATATATATATATATATATATATATAAGCATGGTAAACGGTTAAAAGTTAAAAATTAAGATGTACTACCCCTTATGCACTGTTGTAACACCCTCATTTTCATCAAGAGAGATGTCACGTAATCTGAAACATTTCCTTAATAAATACACCAAAGTAATAGCTAAATTAAGACCATTTAAACTATTACAGCGGAAGTCTTTGAATCATCAAAGTTTTAACTTAAGTTCAAACCCACCTTCACTTGG